CCTCCCCCAGCCTGTACACCCTCCCTCCCTCCCTCCCTCCTTCCCCTAACAACCTCACAGTCTCTCCACCCAACCCGTCCCTTGCCTCGCCTACCGTCACCGCCGCATCAGACACGTCGGTGCAGCTACCTTAAGAGATACGAGCCCCGTATCTTCCACCTCCCGCCTCGCCCTCTTCCCCCTTTTCCGTGGGCTTCAACGGCCTCAAAATCCCCTGGTGAGCACCTCTCACGTTTTCTCTGCCTTTTTGAGCTCAAGGCGTCGCTGCACCTCCTTCCCCTCCATCGATTCCTCCCCTTCCTCCTCCTCCTCCTCCTCCTCCTTCTCCTCCTTTTCCTCCTTCTCTATCTCCTCCTCCTCGGACGAAGCTCCACGCCCATGCCCGCCAACTTCCCCGGCCCCTCTGTTTTTGTGCAATGGACCCTCCTTCTTCCCCTTCCTCCTTTGCTCCCTCCCTCCCTCCCTCCCTCCCTCCCACGAGCCCGTCGGCAGTTGGTCCCGCCGACCTGGAAGCGCCGGGAGGGGAGGAGATAAGGGCTGCACCACTTTTGGGCGGGGAAGAGGACGATCTATCCAAAGGACTTCTCTCTTTGGGCAATCTCTTTTTTGTCTGTGGGATATCATACCCGGATGTTGGCGTTGGGAGAGGCGGGGACTTGATCGTTGCGTCTGAGCCTGTTTCGGCTCCCCCACCGACTCCTCCTTTACCTCCTCTCTCCTTCTCCTCCAGCCCACCGCCTCCTCCAGCCACCGCTTCCGCCGCCTGCTGTTTTTTTTTTCGTTTCAACGTCTCCACGTCGGCGAAATGCGGGGCTTCGGGCAAATCCTCGAGTGCCACTCGCCGTCCCTCCTTCCCTTTCGAGCCCGGGAACACAGATGACCATCCTGCCTGCTGCCGTTCCTCCATTCGTATCACCCTCGCTTCCAACGATAGGAACCGGGCTTCCAAATCTTCCCTGAATTTCTGTCGGGACGCCTCCTTGGCAGCTTCCTTCTGTGCCGCGCTTGCGTTTGACCTAGTGTACTCGAACGTAAGGATTGCACCCCCTACAAAAAATACCAACGTCTCCGACAAGAAATCTGCACCCCTTGCAAAGGCTGCTGCTTCCTCCAACTCCTTCACCCCCAAAGATTTGTGTCCCGCCGAGGAAATGGTGATCCAGGCAGAAGCTTGGTGTGTCCATTGCCCCACCGTCACGTACAAGTTTTTTAACGTCGGTCGCTTTGTGGCTTCGATTTTGAGGCGCTTGGCCACTGGCTTGGCCAGTGTTTTGATTGCTAACCCCCCAAGCTTGAGAAGAGGTAGACCAGCCATAATTTCATGAGGGAACGACCAATCTAGAAAGTAAATTCAGGCATTTGCGGACCTCCACAGGGCCAGATGGCTGGGATGCGTAGGAGCTGTTTGTAATTGGGTGAAAGGAGCAATTTGCGTATGAATGATGATTCCCTTTCATCGGTGCCTGCATGTCAAGCGTAGATGTTACACGATTGCGCGTGCGAGGTGCGTCCCGTAGAGGGTGTGCCGCTCTTGCGTTGCTGTTTGTCACGAGCGAGAACCCTATCGCCATCATTTTCTTTTTTTTCCCCCCGGGGGGGGGGAGGAGGTTTTTCGGTTTTCTTTTTCCCTAATTAAACATGTATTTTTTCCTGATTTCTTTCATTATTCGGCATCCAATTGTCATTATAATTGTTTCATTGAGATTTATATTGCACAGCCAATGTCTCCCTGTCCAGCAAAAACGAGGGAGAACGCGATCAAGGATGGTAGAAGACTTGAAGTGGTAATGTGAGTATGTAGTGCCCGAGAAGGTGGGGAAAGCGTCTCAAATCTAGGCAGAGAAAATCACAGAACAGAAGAATAAGCCACACCTGAGGAAATAAATATATATTTGAGAGATACGAAGGTGCTAGAAGCCAAAATGAAGACTTCAGCGGGATCTTAAGCGGCTGACAAATGAAGAAAAGACTTTGCACGAAGTCCTGTAGTGCAAGTCTATACCAGTGGGCTACGCGACATGTCAGCCCCATGGCATATTGTCTGCCTTCCTCAAAAACGACTGACCAATGTATCTTATTCCACGGGAAAGATGCCTTGATGGGTGCGGCTTTTTTGTACAGGCTTTATCGCCATATGGCCCATCCACGGTCCAGAGCAATCCCCCCCACAAAATCACGAAACGTCAATGCTTTAAAGGAACCAAAATCAGGCACGAACGTTGTCCATTGAATTGTTATCAGTACCATCAACTCTCAGGGGCTCCCAACAACAAGTCATCGTCGTCGTCCTCGCCCTCCTCATGCGCGGGATGGTGATGGTGCTGCCTGCGCCCTGGAACGCTTTGCGACTGCACTTCCCCTTCTTCCTCCCCTCCTCCCGCACTCTCTCTCTGATTCGACGATACA